ATCATCCTCTAAGTGAAAACCTCTTCCTGACATCCAACCTAAACCTCCCCTGACTCACCTTCATGTGATTTTGAAGGTGTTCCAGTTCTTTATTTTGATCCTGTCCAAATAGCTGCATGCTCTTGACAAAAGGCACTTCAGTATTGTTTTGTCCACAAGTTCTAAATACTCTGCTCAACAGTTCCAGTCTGTTTCAACTCAATTTAGCATTGCTGCCATCAAGAAAAAGCTGACTAATGCCACAGAAAAAAACCCAAAACATTTGAGACCATCCAATTCTCATAAGTGCCAGAAAACACAATTAAAACTTGCCTCAGTTGAAATTCATACAAGGCAGCAGTGCATCCTGAAAATCTTTAAGGTGAGTGATGGGAAACAAGCAGTGGAACATCTCCACTGTAGCACCTGGGATCCTGTCCAAGAGCCACTCAGATGACAGACAGCATGTGGGTTTCATGCTAAGTGCAAATTACACTCTAATCTGTTGGAGTATGCACATCTGAATTAAAAAAAAACCAAACAAACAAACACAAACAAACAAACAAACCTACCCCCCAAAAAAGCCCAAAAAAGAGAGAGAGAAATGGCAACAGCCAAATCATCGTATCATCCTCACATCTACTCTGAGACCTCTTTGAAACAGGCCTCAACTCACATGGGCAAACTTTAAGGCAAATCCTGAGTCCAAAACCAAATAGCCAGGGAAGAATAATCAAGGTCAAAAGCCAAATTTAGCTATCAATGCCATCGTAGCTAACACACACTTAAGCAGCAGGCTAACATGAACCAGCTGATCCTACCTGGAAATACAGGCCAGTCACACTTAACAGTATCTTTTAAATAATCCTGATGCTAGTTGCTGGTTTTGATTTTAAAACAAAGCAAGCCTTAAGAAAATACCACCCAGAACAAGTAAAACAACAGACTGCACTTAACAAAAATGCAGTTTTTCTTATACTGTAGTTTAAGAAACACCAAAAAATGCCCTCAAAACACTAAAATTGCACCTATTAATCAATGCAGATCAAATGCAAAGATAAATTCTGTTTATGAGTGGTGGAAAGGCAGCACCTTTTCCTAAAATACTTTCTTGATGCAAACTTTTTTCCTAAGGCAATAGAACACTTTCTGCCAGATGTCAGAGAGCATTTCTTAATCCCACCACTCTCAAAGACAGCTGGTAGGCAGGGGAATTTTTGAGAATTTTGCCACAGAAAACATTAACTCTATCTGTTAATGCTGTCTTCTCTTCACAATTCCTTTTGGATGTTCATAATTACACAGAAGAAAGTTGGAATTTTTCTCTCTTCCTACTTTAATGGTATTTTCTCTTTTGACTATCTAAGACTTTAGGCTACTTGCAGTAGGAATTCTGTTCTCCATATTTACAATGGAAATTCAGGCCTAGCCAAACTTAGGACACTTGGCTATTATCACAATATGTTTCTATCGCTAAATCACTGATTTCCTTTGATCTGCTGAAAGATTCACAAGTGAAATTGCTATAGTACCATCCTGTACATGCCTCCTTCTTTTCAGTACTGAGAATAAATGCTCTGATCACTTTATTTGCCCCACTAAGTCTTGTGTGCCTGTAGGACATCACCGTGGACTTGGGAGCTCAGATCGTAATATAACTGTCTCACATGAAAGCATTCATTTTAAGTTTTCCCTTCTCTTCAGATTAAAAAAAAAAAAAAAAAAAAAAAAAAAAAAAAAACCACAAACAGAAATACATTTCCAATCCTTAAATTGAAATCTTATGAGATTTTGAAGATGTTATTGCCTAAAGCTGAACCAGGTTTTGAGAAAGCCCTGGGGTTTTCTAACACATTTCCAATGGCATCGAAGAGTTCAGGCACTTTTTAGCTGCTCACATTCTATCCAATTTAGCAAAAATGGAATAAGCATCAAAGAAACACTGAGCAAGAATCTCAGAAGTGGACTACAAAATCTTACTGGAACTTGCCAGGAATATTTTAGTTTGCAAATCCTTCTGGAAATGGATTGAAAGGTGATTGAGAGGGTCTGATTTCTGACAAGGAAGTTTCCCTGACAGTATTTTGAAAAGTCTGCATTAGCTGAATAACAAGGAATGAAGGTACCTGTCAGGTAATTTCTACCCAGTACACTCCAGGACACTGGAGGCTGTTTTTACTTGTCTGAAAACCAGCTGCATTCTATCCAGTTTCCAGAGCTTTCTTTCCTTGGCAGCTTAAGAGAGAGTTTCTTGTTTATGTAGATGAGAGTTTCTGAAATTAATCCCCTCCATATTTTTATTTCCACAATGACTTCAAAAATCAAATTTCATTTCAAGTCAGCAGCACCTGAGTGCAGTGGTAACTCAGTGGTATGATTTAGGTGAGATTAAATTTTAAAATATTTTCTTTCCATAAAACATGGCAGCAGCTGTGATTTTTTTCTTAGACGTATACTGTGCCATACACAAATGTTCCTACTCCAGACTAGAAATGAGAAAGCTCATATTGATAGCAAGTGGACACAGTAGACTGTCTTTTGAATGATTAAAAATAACTGGTATTTTTGATTTCTATACAGATTCACCTCTTCCAGCTAGAAAACTCTCTGTTCAAAAGCCTTAGGTAGCCCAAGGGAAATATGTAATATACTTCTGTAAATTTTACCTGCAGCTGCACAGTTGCTTCTCCAGCTCTTCCTGCACCTGGATTGAAACTAGATCTGCTCATCAACAGCCAGGGAGGGGTGGGAAATCATATGGACCCATACACAAAACAGTCCTTCCAACACTGACATTCATGGGGTCAAACTGGTTAACAAATGAGTACTGACTTGGAAATGAATGTACCGATTTTTTTCTTATTATTATTTTTTTTCTTTCTCTTATTTTTTCTGGTTTTTTAGGTTTGTTTTTTTTTTAACTTCCCGCTCACCTGAATAAACCAACCCATGCATGGTAGTAATTGTGACCTTGCCCACATACATTCTATTTCAGGATATAGGATTTCCAATGATTTAAAAAGTAGGACTATCCCACAATGTACACAATTTTTGCTGCATTTGTTAAAAAATTCAGTTGATATTTTCAACTGATGCTGAAATGTTAAAAAATCTTTCAAGACCCTTTAACTACTATCCCTATACAATGCTATAGTAAGAGACTGTTTCCACAGCCAAACAGATACAAAGTAATTCTCATGTCTGAATGATTTTTAAAAGCTACATTGGTTAAATTATATAGCATTAACTCTTTTTTCCAGACATGGACAAATGTATCTCCTAATTTGTTGTTGAAAAAGGAGAGCCACTCATTAACCACACTACTATGCTTCTATCCTGAAATCATCCTTTGTATGAATTCTAGATGCTTTTTAACTAAAATCTCAGACTTCACTCAGAAAAGATTAAATGGAAATATCCTCAGTATTCACAGATAAACCTCAAGTGTATTATAGATAGTTTAGTTTTTCTTTAATGTTTTTTGTTTTTAAGAGGAAAAGAGTGCATTGTTTGGAGGAAGCATTATGATGGTGTTTCTGAGACAACTGAAACACAGTATAACTAACACATTAAATTACAGATCTTGGGAATGCTGGGAGCTGGTCTGCACTTTGAGGTTACAGCTGAAGGTGGGTCTGCAGATTGCTCCTCATTCTGCAGGGACCGCCCAGCACCTTAAAGCATCTCAAAGCTACCTACTACTAAAAAAAAAAAAAAAAAAAAAAATCACCATTTTAACCTCTCTGCCTTGTTTTGCATCCAGCAACTTTCCAGCCCCTCTTCCTCTAAGACTGGAAGCAGTAAAGTGCTGCTGTCACCCCCTCAGCAAACAGGAAGTACCTGCTGTCCCTCCATCTCCCTGTTAGTGAAGTAGAACTGCATCTTCACTGGGTCACCAAGCAGAGCTCAGCTTTCAGAGGAAGTTGACAGAGCTGTGAAAACAGGACAGGCAGGACCCAACTTTGACAAGCATGACATGAATTGCTCAAAAGTCAGCAAAAAAATAATTGCTTCCATGGCTACATGCCTGTGAAAACTGGGTTTTCTTCACACCAACTGCCAATGGCTGCTGATGCTAGATTTTTGTGGTGCCTTTCTGCCAACTAGATGAAAATAAGATTCCTTTTTGTTTCCAAAAGTGAAGATACGTTATGTTGCCTCATTTTATTCTGATGGGCAAAACACACTTACTTACATTTCCAAACCAGCACGGGCAGGTTTAGCCTGTTACAAACTGGAGGCTAAGCAGACACCTCCTCTTTTGTTTTCATTTTTTACTATTGCTTTCACCACCTTGGAAGGGATAAAATTAATATCACCCAAGACAGGAAGAACAAGACAGGAGGGAAAGATAGTTTAATTGACAACACAGACCTCATGCAAGTAAAGGGAAGTTCATTTTTAAGTCAAGAGAATCTGATTTCAGGCCAATTTGGAAACCATGGCAGAAAAATGGTTGCCTTAAACTGGGTGAGTCAAATTCTTCATTTTGTTTTAAAGAAAAAAAAAACGTTGTATTGGCTCAACATTGAGCCTATACAGCATTGAGATGAATCCAAAATCATGATGCATTAGCAAGCAAAAGATTATGATGTCACCACAAATGTTATGAAGTCAGTATTTCCAAAACATAAAAGCAGAAAAACAGATTTACAGGAATGAGATGGGCCAAATTAGGACTTTTTTTTCCCTTATTTTTCCTTCAATGAATAGTAAATAAAGCTGTCCAATTTTTTATCATAATGCTTGTTTTCTATGTTGCTTATTGATATGACTTAAATAGTATATGAAATTGAATGATTACAGGTTTTAGAGTAACTTAATTGACCAAAATAATTCTGTGCATTTGTTTTTCATTTTCAATTTTGTGCATATCAGTAGTGCGCTATTTTCGTTTAGCCATACCTCAACTTTCTGCTTCTATCTTTACAGTCCTGGTATAGTCACTTTATGGTAAAAGGGTTGGGTTGGAGGAGAGGAACAAATAATAGGTGAAGCTGCAGCAAATGGCACAAGGATACAGTCCCTTCCTGGAAAGAGGATTTTGTGGCGAACCATTTCTCCCATAATGCATCCCACAGACCATATATCCACTAGAACAGCAGAGACAGGGAAGTGAAGAAGAAGGGGAAAAAAGCAACGTTATCTACAACATTTCACTCCTAGAGGAGGGGAAAAAGGTTGATCAGCACAGTACACAGTTTGTTTTGTGGTTTTGCTGGGTTTCTTTTTCATGTCTTACCAAAAGCTAAAATAAGTAACTGAATAAATAAAAGCTGTGTCAATCAGCTCAACAGCAGTTAGTAACAACAGTGAAAAAAGTTTAAAATCAACATTTTGGGTAAAGGTCCAGAGCAAGTAAAGATCAAGTAACAACTGCGCAGACCCATGGTATACACTGAACTTATGGCTAAAAAACTCCTTTTTTTTTTTTTTTTTTTTTTTTTAAGGGAAAAAAACAAAACAACCAGATAATGGCAATCTGGAATAAATCCTACTTGCAGGGCTTCTAGGCTTTGTTCTTCAGCACTTAGTCTCCCTGCAGCAAAAAAGGTTTTTTGAAAAGAGGTTCCAAATGGAACTGCTCACACAAGTAAAGGCCATATGGAAAAATACCACCATTAAAGGTTATTTAAAACTCCTCTTTCAGGATCTATCCCTGTGTCCTATCTCTAGGTACCTATCATGGAGAGCATGACCTGAGTGGTCTCTCTTTTGTACTGTGTAGGCACTCAAAATAAATGCTATAACAAAAGCTCCAAAGAACAAATATCAACAAGACTAAGAGCATTTCCTATTCGCAATCCTGCCTTCAGCTTCTAGATGAAATATGCAGTTACCTTATCTGCTTGACTTGGATAGGGGATTTTTTGCCCTTTAAGTTCTTTAAAGAAGAAATGCTGGCTAGATAGTGACACAGTATTGACAGAAAAAAAATTTAAAAAAAAAACAAAACCTGTCTTCCATGTGAAGAGGAAAAAACTGCTTTGAAATGCTTTAAAAGATTATGTTGTTTCTGAGCCTGAAATCCTCATTTTTTCATTATGTTTGACCTACACAATCAATTTTTCTCTCTTTTTCTTCCCTTTTTAACCTTTAGAAGCAATCCAAAACAAACCAAAGAAATAAACAAACAACTCATTTCTTGGTGAAACAAAATAAAGGTGAAATGTTCCATTTGGGAAAAGGAGGGTACGTACAGGTATCAAGGGCATGGAACAGCAAAAGCATGCCTGAGGCAGCTGCAGTTTGCTTCCTAGTGACAGTTTTGGGACCTTCCATAGAATTGCAGCAAACTGGTGATAATTATGCATCTTTAGCCAACGAAGTGCAGAAAGAAAATTAAAGCAGTGAACAGTCCTTATACAGGCAGTGTACATAGTCAGAGGGGAAAAGTTGGGGAGCTTCAGTAATGTGGCAGCATAGGCCAGAGCAGAGAAGCAAAGAACAACCCTTTCTGTTGACTTCCTTGGGAGCTGGGTCAGAGCCTCCAAGCAGAGCAGCTCCTCTGAGGGTTGAGCTTCATTTCCAAACATTTTGTTTTCTTCCTCTCTTCGTTTTGGCTTTGTCCAAGTAAGACAAGATCATTCATCTTAAGCCAAATTCATTGCCCGGGGAAGTCAAAGGAGGTTTCTGTGTTAACCTTAATGGGCATTTGATCAGGACCCTTGGATGTGGCAAATAATAGAACTTTCCCAGCTGTGTACTTCATCTCAAAAGTATGTCTAACTTTTTCTTGGTGCAGTTTTAATCATGTGAACAGCAAATGCTCTCTCTGTCCTTTCTAGACAATAACAACAACAATAACCCTAATCATCTACTAAATGTCTGGAGGGGAAAAAAAATCAACAAAAGAATTCATTTGACAATAAAAGAACTCTGGATATTGACTAAAGAACTATCTAAAGAGTGCTACTTCAAATTTCTAGTGGCACTTAGCAAAAATTGCAAACAAAATACTTTAAGAAATATCATTCCCTCATTTTCAGAAATTATTCTCTAAGCTAAGACTCTGCATAATTATAATATAATATAATATAATATAATATAATATAATATAATATAATATAATATAATATAATATAATATAATATAATATAATATAATATAATATAATATAATATAATATAATATAATATAATATAATATAATATAATATAATATAATATAATATAATATAATATAATATAATATAATATAATATAATATAATATAATATAATATAATATAATATAATTATTTCATCGCTCTTTTTAGACTTTTGTATTAAAATGCATGCCTTAAACTCATAAATATTAAAAATAATTAATACAGAGACTTGCTAATTTCAGAAGAGGTTGCGCAATTATGTTTTCAGTAGTGCTGAAGTAATGGAATTTGCTCTCAAAATCAGTTTCACTGCCCTTTACAGGATGCAGTCGGCTGTTAGTAAAAGTTCTGCAGGTTAGCTAATCTCCTCAACATAAATGAAGTAGGACACTTTTTAATAAATTCCTGGTCTTGTCACATTTGCTGTATTTGCCATCAAAAAATCTCCTCAAACAGACAAATTATATCTTTAGCAGCAAAATCTGAGCTATAGCTATTCCTTCATTTCCTGCCTGGTCTACCTGGCACTCAGATGCAATTCCCAGTTTTGTTACAAAATGAGAACAACTTAAAAAGATTTCCCTTCATCTTCTGCAAGATTTGAGTTTTTTCTTATCCACTTCTCTATAGAAAGCATCCCCACCTGCTTTTCACAATATTTCCAAGGACCAAGATCTCTCTCAGACTGAGATTACAATCCAACAATCCAAACTGTATGTTTTGGTTTTTTTTGTTTTTGTTTTTGTTTGTGTTTTTTTTTTTTTTTTTAGTTTCAGCCTTTTCCTCTTCCTTACAATTCTACTTTTCATTAAAAAAATGAAATCAAACTGCAAAACTTATACCTAGATTTTATACCTAGATCTTGACAAGATGAAACCTGTCCGCAAAATCTGGGACTTTGTTAAATTTATCATGAAGAAGGAATTAATTTCTGAAATTCAGATCTAGCTCTGGATTTAGAGAAATTCTGGAAGGGCTAGGATTTTCTATTTCAGCTTGTACTTCTTCCCGTTCCTCCGAACAATTCAGAGATCCAGACTCAAATTTACAGCATGTCACTTGTTCAGCAATTCCAGTGGTTCCCACATTATTTCATGGCCACAGAAGACCAAGATGAGAGCTCTGGTCAAACTTAGTTTGTAGTTGTAACTCCAAACATAGCTAAGAATAAGTTTCCTGTTACTCTGCAATCCCACACTGATAAGTTCACCAGCAGTGCATCCCAAATACATTCTGTAGCTGCAGTTCACAATAGTGAGGAACTGCTCTAACTCCAGGTGTCATTTCCCATCATTTCCCATTACATTCCCTGTCCCTCCTTTGGGTCTCCCTTTCAATGGTGAAGCAGAGCTTGCCCTTGAGGGGAGCTGATGCAGTGACACTGCAGCCCTACCGTTCTCCTTGTAACCCATTCCCAGGATGACCTCTGGTGCTCTGTAGTAGCGTGTCACCACATAGGGGGTCATCATGAAGCTAGTGCCTGCAGTCCTGGCCAGTCCAAAATCCAGAATCTTCAACGTGCAGTCAGATTTTACTACAATGTTACTTGGTTTTAAATCCTGCAAGAGACAGTGGGAAAAAAAACCATGTGACTGTCCTTTAAAAAGCTGGGCACAGCTATGATATGGACAGATACTTTAGGTCACCCTTCAAATACTCTTTCCCTCTTCTGACCCAGTTACTATCAGAAATACTTGTAAATATACAACAAACTCTTGCTATTGTTTCTCTAGCAAACTGTTCTGGAAGTTGTTCTATCTCAGCATAGTGCGGGGCTTAACCTGGATAACAGGAGCCTACTGGCATTAAATTAATTGCATTTACTAGGATTATTATCCAAGTGCTCTTTTGATTAGATTATTTTCTCTTGATGCTGTGAACCTGATAGAGACATTCCAACTGCACACTTAGAGATACCTTAATGCTTCATTTGTAATAATTCAACTCACCTTTTGCTAGATGACTATCTGGCAGCCAAATCTATAACCTTTTGCTAAACACATGATATGTCAAGAAAGGAGAACTTTGTAGAACAACATCCACTTTGTGACCCACTTTATCAGCCTTTCTTTTCTTTAGGGAAACATTTTTTCCCAAATGTTAGTGAAAGCAAATTAGTGAAAGCGCTTTTCAATAAAGAAGTTAAGTCAGGGTATTTTCAATCCATTGACAATTCCCTCTTGCTCACAGTTACATGACCTAATCCCCCATGCTATCAACTATCACACATCCACAGCCAGGTACCACATCCTTACCAGGCACAGCACTGATGTGGAAAAAGCAAAATGAGAGGATGCATTTCAAATAGACGCAGCAGTTTTTCATTTGCTTCAACACATGTAAATGATGGCAAATGCCAATTCCATAGCCCCTGACCTCTCCTTGTGGCTTTTATGTCTTTTATTCATTGCACTGGGACACAGGGCTGTGACCCACAGTACACAAGACAGCCAAATGGCTTCATGATAATTTCAAAGTCTTCATGATAATTTCATATGCTGCCTTAAATTTTAAGCCAAAGGCCCCTTACCCTGTGAATAATCCCTGCAGAGTGAAGATGCTTGATTCCACAGAGCATTTGGTACAGAAGGTAAGACATTCGCTCATGGTCCAGCTCCATCTGAATGACCTGGCACAGGTTGGCATCCATTAATTCCATTACTAGGTAGCTGAATGGAAAAGCAAATCCACAGGGTTATTTGTTTTGTGTTGAAGGCAAATCACAGCATCACCTCAAATAAGTAACAATGCCTTTTCTTGCTCTAAAATTCACTTTCTTTCTGATGACTGGGAGTAACCCAGCTGGAGACTGGGCCCACTAACCACAGCACCACAGTGGTGTTTGTATTTCATTGCTGAGACACCACTCTTTCAGCATACCAGGAAAACTGGCAGATTATTTGTCCTTTCTTGGTGTGTTCCCCATGACAGACACTATACCCTACATGAGCAATCAGGCAGCACCACACAGAAATGCACAAAACCCAGAAGACCCACAAGCACGAAATGATGTAACTGCTTGGCCTTCGACCACTGCAAAGATGGCTACCACAGTACACATGGAAACCTGAGAGAAACAGAGGTGTCTGAAAGAGTAAAATATATCTGTGCATCCGTGTGCAAAATGCTCCAAAAAATCTTCCTAAGCTTGCATGACTTCACAAAATTCTCATTACAATTAATTGCTTACTGCTGGAATCAGACTGCAGAATAGGAACGTATTTCCATGCAATGTATACAGAATATGGAAAGACAGAAGGACAAAAGGAGAGCAGCAATATGAAACAGGGAATACTTAAAATTTCATTCACAGCAGGTTTGTACTAGGCACAGTAGTAGTTGTCCAGCATGGCAAGGTTCCAACAGAGATGCTGGTTGTCTTCTGCACCTACCAATAGCTCCCCATGCAAATAACTTTACACAACAAATATGACCTGGTGTTTTTCACCTTAAATTGTCAAAAGAGCTCTCAATATGGGTATTCAGAATATTTTTCTACCTACTAGACTCACACCATCTTTTTTGGAAGGGGCTACAACCTTTGTATTTTGCTGAATTATTGCAATCAAGGTACACCACAGTGCCCCACACATCCCTACAGCTTTAGCTTAATTACTACCCCTGTTACTTACACATCCTGGAACTCCTCCAGAGATTTCTGTGGTGTGAAGACATTTAATAAACTTATAATCTGAAAAGCAAAGTAAGACAAAAGAATAAAGTGATATACAAAATCAGTTGAACCTGTTTTGAACTGTGTTAAAGAATAAACAGTTTTTTCACTGCTCTATTTGTATTAACACTTCTCACTTTATGAATCAGTAAAAAATCAGAAGCATTCAAAATAAAATACCACAGACCTTTCAGATTTCTTCTAGATGAACTTGAAATCATCTGAAACTGGTGACAAAACAAAGTGCTAAGAGTGAGACACTCCTCTCAGCTTTGAAGCTGCAGGTTCAAAGATCAACTTCAGCTCAATCTAGCATAGCAGTCTGTGCTACAGCCCAAATTTTCTTATTTATGAGGAATGATAATTTGAGGGGACAAATAACCAAGGATCATTTTATTAAACAGTAGTCCTTCCTTCTCTCTGACATGACCTCAATTCATTTGAGGGCACATACACGCACATGGTGGCTGATGCAAATCCCATTGTGGCAGGTACAAGTTTTCAGTAGAGGCGCTTTGAAACAGAGACACCCTGAGCAAAGACATCCTGCATATTTCAACTCATTTTCTCCTTTCTCTTGTTTGGTTAGCATTTTTGGGTTTTTTTTTTATTTTAAACGGGCTGGGCTGCTGGAAGACACTGGTAAGAAGAATGTGTGAAAAAGAACAGAGGAAACAACATTTCCCCTGTTTTCCCTCTCTGCTGGTAACAGATGTAGATGACACCAGCACTGCTGCCAGGAAATCAACATCTGAATGTCACCCTTCCAACCTCCATTACCTCTTTAGGTTTTCTAACAGAAATTGTTCAACATTCTCTCTCTTTACTACACATATTCTCACTGAATCTTACCACTGCAAAGGTGCCTTTACAATCCTCTCCTTCCTTTGCACTTCTCTGTACAGACAGATTAAAGCTCTGAGCCAACCCATGTGTTGCTGTTAGCAGCTGTCATGCACCATGTTTAAAACTATGTATTTAAAATTAGTGACGCTCCTGCTGCCCCACTGCTCTTTCCAGTCCACTAAAAAACTTCTCACTCATCCCTGCATTTTCAAATCCTCATGCATTGGGCTGGCTGAGGGCAGCTTCCATCAAGTCAACAGGGAAAAGACAGGAACAGTCCTGATCAACACAGTGGGAATGTAAGGATAAATCACTGCCCAGAAGTGAGGCAGAGACACTGTAGAGTCAAATCCTGTAATTTGCCATTTTAGGGTCAGTCTTTTCTCTTTCCATGTGAACATGTGATTAAGAACAAGTGTTATAAGCTCACTTATGCCCTGCATAAGGAGAGTCATTGCAAGATCTGGAGGACAGGTAGACACTGCAAACTGAAAAATTCTCTCCTAATGAAAAAGAAGGGGCACACAGATATGAGAGCAGGAAATCTAGGGAGTCGAGGAAAATGAAATCCCTGGGACAGCCCTTTACAATTCAGCATGGCAATCCTACATATTTCACTACAAAAAAGCAGTTGATACAGTTGATACAGATCAGGCAGATAGTTCTAACAGATAATAATTAAAATTAACATTCAGCCCTGGAATAACACTCCTGGCACAGCATAGGAATATTTTCATTCATTATGGGTACTAAATGATATACAGTAGATGGTGCAATAAGCAGGAGAGTCTAGAACAATTCCAGTTTGGCACAGCCTTTAAAAAAGTATGTGGAATACCCTCAGTCTCTCCTGTGGGCATGTAGTACCAGACTGTGTGTAGCACTTGAGCATAATTCACTTCTAATTTCTTCCATTTAAAAGAGGAACCCAACAAAACAACTTCCTTTCTAACACAGCAATGCACATAACCATTTCTCCTGCTGAGCACTTACATTTTTATGATTCACACACTTCATGAGGACCAGCTCCCTGTAAGCTCTCTTGGCGTGAGTTTGGTTCTGAAATGGTCTGCTGAGCTTCTTAATGGCCACATTTCTGTCAAGGACGGCATCATATGCAGCACTGCAGTGATGACAAACACAGGGGTTATGCATCTTAGAGGGTACCCAGCACTTCTCATGGCAAATTCCTGAACCTCAGGTCTACCACTTCCTTTTTTTTTTTTTTCCACTGAGAAAAATAGTGAGACAAAAGAAGAAGAGCATTTCTAATAAAAAAAAAAATAAAATTAAGAGATCAATAGGAAACATGTAGCACCATATCAGCAGAAGACATCATACACCACTACTTCTGAACTCCATAAGTTAATACTTATTTTCAAAGGGTGGGGGGAAAAAGTCAATGAACTTGAGATTAAAAATACAATAAAAACTGGATGAGAATGAAGTTGTTTCATAAAGCAGCTTTCTGTGCATGGCTCCAGCAGAAAAGGGTTTTGCTTTTTGTGTCGGTGTTAAGAGCACTTTAAAAATGTGGCTCAACAACTGAGCCACGGTTGCCCACTTACCCAAAATGAATTTTGTATTTTCCTCATGATATTTGTAATGGAATCAAATTATTTAGTCATTCTTTGAGACCATATAATCAAATTCCAATAACATACCTAGAAACAGAACTATTTCACAAGGTTTTTTACCAATTCCTGGTAAAAAAAAAAATTGTTACATATGCACAGTTACAACTTTTGAAAATGAAGAAATACATTGTTTGCAAAGTGAACTTTTAAAGCTGGGGTCCTAAAATGCTCCTTAAACCTTTATATGTTTTTCACAACCTTCTGCTATTTTTATAAACGTTCCTTCTTATATATTTGAAACACTTATTTTGGTGGTTCAAATCTGACTGCAAAAATTCTGTCTTCCAAATACCACAAAGCACACTAAGTTCTAGAAGCATTCCCAAATGGACAGCATCCTCAGACCCTCTTCCTGATTTTTCCTTTTACCAAGAAAGAGGAAAGGCATGACATGCGTTTTCTGCTAGTCCATGAAAAGCAGCAGTGTATTTCCCAGGAGAAAAATCAACCAAACCACCCATTGTTCTAAAAACTGCTTTCCTAAGCATGAAGTAAATATTCAGAATCCTGCAAAATTTTTTCTCATTAACCCTTGCTTACTGCAGACACTCAGTGACAGAGGCAATTTGAGCAGAAAGCATGCAAGCTTCAGAAGCTTAGTCACAAAGCCAACAGAAATGCACAGCTGTTCAAACTGTTGGTAATGTTTGTCTGGGAAACCACACAAAAAGAGAAGAATCAGAAATACTGAATTTTCACTACGTGTGCATAAATAACACACCAAATGCATCCCATAAATAAGAACAATTGTTTCCTAAAGGTGATGAGAGGTTTTGCAAAGATTTCTTTTAGGACTTATTTAGGAAGTCTCTTGAGAGTGGTCTAGGGTAGTGAGCATTCCACAGCCACATCTGGAGTTCTGGGTTGTACTCCAGCTCGCCAGTATGAGAAAGATAAAGACTAGAGTACTTCCACTGATGAGCCATGAAGATTATTAGGGACTGGAAGATCTGTCATACAGGGAGAAGCTGAGTGAGCTGGGGTTTTTTAGCCTGGAGAAAGATAGGGACCTTACAAATTTTCTTACTGTGAGGAGTAAAGAAGATGAAGCCAGACTCTTCCAGTGGTCCTGAGCAATCTGCTCTAGTTGACTGCTTTGAACAGGTGGGTTGGACCAGGTGTACTCCAACATCATCCATTCTGTCAGTTGGTAATTATTCTTTATTCTCCTATTCATTAATAAGACATATAACTTCCATGACCCAGCTAATACCCTGCTGGTTACATGCATAAACAAAGATACGGCACTCACCAGTTACACCATACAAGCAGCAGCTTAGGTGAAAAGGCTATCAGAGAGCAAGCCTGACTTGATTTCTCTCTAGCCACAGAATTTCACCCAGCTAAACCTTGTGTTAGGAGGAACATGACATGTGATTTACAGCCTAACAGTATGTAGCAGAAAGCAAACCTCCTGCAGCAGCTGTCAGAGTCACGTCTCTCATTCTGATGTAGTACAGACACAACAGGGCATCATAAAGGCCACAACTAAAATACCCCTTAGTTCCATTACGAAAGCATTGAACAAATAAAATGCAAAGCCCAAGGATTTAAATAAACAGGATCTTTCAACAGTTAAATATTTTGTCCCTGTTGTTCATGGACATATACTGCAAATATACTTCAGCAGACAAATATCCCAGCTAATCCATCTTACTTGATCGCCCAACTTCTTTTAGGATGAAAAGCCTATGTAACACTCGTCTGAGCTGTGTAAGAGTAGTGTGAATAATTTGATAATATTTTTTCATATTTTAATCTCATCAGATACATCATAAAAATACTGACTAGGAGTTAGAAAACAACAAAAGTTTGTCTGAGCAAACATTTTCCTCAGCTTCGGGTCTCTGTCTGCTTTTCTGAATTTTCTCTCTCTGTCAAAGCAATAGACAAAAGCATTGATCTAAAATCAGAAAACCAGAGGCTTCTTAAACATTTGGCTTTTATGGTCAATTCCTGTTATCTGCGTACCATGGAAGAACTAAAGTAATCCTTTGTAGAGGAATATTTACTTTGAGACACAAAGATCTTGACTGCAATTCTATCGTGGTCTTCTATCAAATGGAAGGTGTCCAACTACTCGAAGAAGCCAATACATAAATTCATTGCACTGGGTAAATCTGCAGCCCTGATGGTTTTTTATTGTGTTCATCAGAAAAAACTTCTGTTTACAGCCAGCCAACTCTGCACTTCACTACGATGAAACTTCAGACAGGTTGTAGGTCCTCTCTCTGCTGTTTGCTGCACAAAATCCTTACCTTGGAACACCAAGGTTGGGATTGATCATAAGCCTTCTTAAGACAAACTTCAATCACTGGCAGAAGAGTGGCTGTATAAAGATGTGGCTCCAGGGATCAGGAATAAGAGAGAGAGTAATGAGTGTCTGTGAACTGTGGTGAAAAGGCTGAGTATGAAAGCCACTCTAAATCTCAAATAAGAGACTGGACTTGCATCTAAAAGAGTTTCTCTGGAAACTCTATCAAAACATCTCTTGGTCAACTGTGAATTTATTTTTTAATTTCTACAGTTTCTTGATTTTATAGCAAAGACTCTAAATTACCTCTGGTCATGTTATAAAATGATTGCTTTACTGCAACATGAGCTCAGAAAAATCTTCGAAGTTTACTACCATGTCTCTGGCAGCGGTAAAGACAGAAAAGGCAGTAAATAAACTCTCTCCTTGTAAATCCTCTTTACAGTTAGTTTGACACGGTAAATGTCAGTGCTAAAAATGCCTTTTAAAACTGTAAATAATTTGAAACAAACCTATTTAGCACAGATAAAAAAAATTAGTGAATATAAATTCATGATTACCAAGACATATATGTAATCACAGGTATTTAACAAGGCTTTTTGCTGACTTTGGCAAGAAAAATAATGAAACTCTTCCTAGTCAGATTTACACAAATCCAGGCCATCCTTTGCCATGATATTCTGTGTGAGTTCAGACTATAACAATCAATGAGTAATGATCTGCTGTCATGTACTTGGAGGACCAGGCATTCATTTTTATACCTATTTTGAAAAGAAATGGAAAGCATTCTAGTTTCATGTCCAAGTTTCTATTTCAATAGACACTTACCAAATAAATACTTAAAATTATTCCTCCCATCTTTTCATCAACAGGTAAGCTTAACATTTATCAAGTCCATTATAGTCTACCCCAGAACAGACTGTTAAACCCACAGAAAATGTGCATTTTTTAAAGTCAACTCTTAGAGATGGGTTCTTAGGATAATAAAGGACAACCTGAAAATCACATTTAACAAGAATGCTAATGATGTCTCATCCTCAACCACTGATCACCACCAATATATGGAGTGGAACACCTTCTATAGAAATGCTCAGATACACATCTAAATGTATATGCAAAGATAGATAAAAAAGAAAAGCATAGATGGATGCATATATGAATCCTTTCCACAGAAATTTCTCTGTGGCAATTTCAAAGGCCTTGGTTTCAGATAACTATCACTATTGCAGTTTCTGAAGAAGTCATTTATAGAAATGACAAGAACCAAATCTTTTTCCTATGTCAAGCAGAATTTCTGTAGATGTGGTTTATGAAGCTTAACCATAAAATGTTTCAAGTGCTTTACCTTCTCTCTGCTTGCAGTCCCCTTTCAGCCAAGTACTCAAACAAAAAGAGTGAAAATGTTATTTTTCTTTAATCAAACTTTTCTAAGTATGCTCTGGTAGGGGTTTTTTGGTGGGTTTGGTTTGTTTGCTCCTTACATTTCCCTCACATATAACTCCAAATTTTAGAATGAATTTAGACTTTCTCATTCTTAACTTGCATTTTCTCCTCTTGACATATAACTTCCAAGTCTCTAAACGCAGACATTCACACAAACAGTGCATATTCTGTTCTTCAATAATTACTTTTAAACAGAAAAAACTTATTAGAGTAAAAACTCTCCAGAAAGTATATTTAAATATAGTGAATATTTTCCATTAAGCTAGTGGAAAAAGAAAAGAATTCATTCAATACATGCACCGGGTGCAGAAAGTTTTCCCCAAGCAGTACAAGTCAAAGACTGCTATAACAAAAAGCCTTTAAATGTCCTTATTAAGTTTGGAAGCAATCCTTTGTGCTAAAAAAAAAAAAAAATTCCAGTATGACCGTACTGAAGAGTTGTAGACCTCTTGTCAGGAATGGCTACTATACTCTCTGGATCAGCTCTACTCCCTCTGAAAATGCAGAGAAATTGAGACAGTATTCAGAGCTGATGCTAAAGAAGACCAATACAGCTTCATAATGGATGACTGCTGCACTTTTCTTCTTCTTGACAATTATGGTTCCAGCCTAGTTTTTTGTGTATTTCCATCAGCTCACAGCTTCTTGCAAGCTAGTGGAAACAGCCAGATTAGAAAATATAACCAAGCTGCCTCCCCAGCTGCTACACAAGTCATCATTTTTTTACTATCACCAGATTCCAGTTTCACAGAATAAATAAATCAGTTGCCAAGGTTTTCCATGAGGTTC